AGAAAAGTTTATTACAAAATATAATTTTTCTAGCAAAATTCACACATGGCCACACATCCAGGCAAGGGAACTTAACGTGCGTCATAAAATTCCAGTGTGTACAGTTTTACTCCCAGATGTAAAGCGTAAACACCAACCATAAATTAAGTAACTAATGTACACTACCATTAGGCCACAAGGGGAAGTCGTGGCCTAATGGTTAGAGAGTCGGACTTGTAACCCAAAGGTTGTGGGTTCGAGTCTCGTACCGGCAGGGATTGTAGGTGGGGGGAGTGAAAGGTTGTGGGTTCGAGTCTCGTACCGGCAGGGATTGTAGGTGGGGGGAGTGAATGTACAGCACTCTCTCCCACCTTCAATACCACGACTGAGGTGCCCTTGAGCAAGGCACCGAACCCCAACTGCTCCCCGGGCGCTGCAGCATAAATGGCTGCCCACTGCTCCGGGTGTGTGTGTGTTCACTGCTGTGTGTGTGCACTTTGGATGGGTAAATGCAGAGCACTAATTCTGAGTATGGGTCACTTCACTTAAAATGTTTGGAAATAATTAAGAATTTTTTTTTTTTTTATGTTTTTAAAGGAATAGTTTAGTGAAGAAAGAAAGTCACATATACATCTTGGAAGGTGAGCAAATAAACAGCAGGTTTTAATTTTTGGGTGAACCTTTCCTTTATTTCCTTTCCTTTATTCTTACCAATTCTGCATTTATTTGATCAAAAATACAGTAAAACTGTGAAATAGTATTACAATTTAAAGTAATTGTTTTCTATTTTAATATTAAGCTGTTGCAAAACTGTGGCAAAAATGCAACACTTTTAACAAAGTTATCTTTTTTAACATAATGTTTCTTGAGCATCAAATCAGCACATTAAAATGATTTCTGAAGGAGTATGCGACACTGTATGCAATGATGCTTAAAATAGCAGCTTTTCATCACATTCTAAACAATATTACAATGAAAAAATAATAATAATTCACAATATTACTGTATTTTGTATCAAATAAATGCAGTCTTGGTGAGCATAAGAGACTTCTTTCAAAACCATTTTAAAAATCTTAATTATTCCAAGCGTTTGACCTGTAGTGTATAACACAGACCCAGAAGGAATCTCGTAATCTCATTTTAGAATTCTGTGGAATGCATGTTAACAAACTGTGAGAGAACAGAAGTGAGAGAATGCCAAATTATTCAAAATATCCAAAAATATTTAATAAATGAGCAGCAAGTGTTGGGCATTCCAACTCCATAGACTTTTCATCATTTGGGATTCTATGTGGGCCTGCTTATATCAGTCCACTTTATTAACTTTTGCTTTCCTTCTTGTCCACTTTAATCTTGAGCTGGTTGATTTTAGGCTCCAGGTCCTCCGTTTTCCGTGGTGCCTGGATACACAGTATCCCGTCATGTGAGAGAGACACCTGCACCAGCAGCGGATCCACACCCATTGGTAAGATGTACGTGCGGGTAAACTCACGACTCACGAAGCCATGCTGGTCCATTCTCTGAGCGTGCCGCCCCGTCACTTCCAACAGGTTGTCGACTGTTCGCACACTGATCTCATCTGGTGTGAACTGGCACACATCTAACAAAACTCGATACCAATCATCTTCACTTTCTATGTGAGAGAAGCCCCGCTCAAGTTGCTTGTTGATGCGGGGACGAATGTAGTAACCGTGGTACAGGACAGGGGCCAACAGGTCCTTGGGACTCAGAGCTGAGAGGGTGAGAAGAGAAACAAATACATCATAATCTCAGTTAATCATACAATGTGTCCAGCAGTGTTGGGGTAACGCATTACAAGTAACGCGAGTTACGTAATCAGATTACTTTTGTTCAAGTAATTAGTAAAGTAAAAAATTACTTTTTAACATTGACTTTGAACTTGGAAACAACCACTTTAAAAATGTGGTGTAACAGTCATGTAAAAATTAATAACATATTTTCCTTCCACCCTAAAGAATCTTGATCTTTTATTTATTTTTATTTTTTTTGAGTTTCAGGGTAATTGTACCACATGACATTTTATAACCTGAACTAACCTTGCCTTGTCATAAAAATGTCAAAGTATCTCATATTTTAAGAGACTTTTGACCTCATGATATCATGTGATGTTTTGTTTGTTTGTTTGTTTGTGTTTGCGCTACATGACTTGGTGGATATCTTTTCAAATATGAATAAACATTGAAGCAGTTTTATTAAAATGCTTTTCTGAGAAATAATAAATAAAATATTATTAGTAATTAATAATAAATAAAATATTATTATTTATTAGTATTAATAAATAAAAAAAATTATTATAAATATTATTAAATAGCTTTTTATTTTTAATTAAAAAAAAATGCATTGTGATATCAGGACAGTTGTATCAACCTAATATTTTTTACGTTATACATCCAGGAATAAAAATTTAAAAATAAATAAATAAATAAAATAAAAAATATATAATTTTTTATTCCTTTGTCTACATGTTGCTGAATGGTATACATGACTTGGCGGACACTTTAAAAAGACAAAACATTTACTACTATTTATGCACCTTAATTAAAATAGAAAGCTCTTTCCTCTAGAATTTGGAAATGTCTTCTAGAAGACACAGGAAATGTGCATGTCAAGTCTATTTACAATTCATGACTCCAGCTACAGATCAAGACTCAGGTTCCACTAACAGTTTCTATTTTAAACTTATCACACGTGGCATCTTTACGCTGTTCTGTTATAGCCTAACAGTGTGTGGTGTCTCCAAACCTGCTGCTAACTTGTTTAAGATCAGCTCATAATCAGTCATGAAGGGGACAAGAGGTTATTTTGCTCATGTCATGTGTGGAATTCTAAATAGAAGTTGTTACAGAGGCGTCACAAGTGAATACTGTCACAAGTGCCAATATGGATGTTCATAACATTATATATTTATTAGCTATAGACTGACGCTCATTAATGACAATCAAAATGACTTGTTTGTCCTAAAATCTAAAGTTATGAAAAGTTGTTTTAAAGTCACTGAGACATAGTATGATAGCCAGCAATATAAAAATACAAGAAATGCACAAATGCACAGGATGTTTTGCCTTAAAATGTTGTCTATTTCTATTCATTTCAAGACTCAAATTTGACTTGCCTTCTGCAAAGTTCTGATCATAGATTCGAGGGGGAGAACACATCTCGTACTCCATACTCATCGGGTAGGCATGAGGAACGGTGCGATCAGTCATTTTGACCACTGTAGCCGGTTGACAAGATAACTGGAGAATTTACTGGATTGACAGACCTCAATTAAACTAATTTCAGAGAGCGAGAGCAGCAGGAAGGCTAGAAAGGGAGAGGGGCAGAAAGAACAGCAGGGGAAAGGAAAAGAGAGATTGCGCACTAGAGACAGGAGGGTGATAAATGTTGCTACAAATAGCTTGTAGTAAACGCTGTGGAGCTGCATAGCCCATATAGGCGGATATACACAAATGCAGAGTGAATAGATTTAGTGATAGACTCAAAAAGCAAAACAGTCTAACAGTTGATCTAGGTTGCTCAAAGTTTTTAAAAAAATTGTTATTTCAACTCTTGAAAAGGGTTGGGATAGGCCTTAAAATAAAACATTATTTTCATTACAGTACTGCACCAAAATAATAAGTCAAAATGATCTTAGCAGCAAAAATAAAAACTTAATGTCACTCTTTTATGAAGTCACTCTCTTATCTATCTATCTATCTATCTATCTATCTATCTATCTATCTATCTATCTATCTATCTATCTATCTATCTATCTATCTATCTATCTATCTATCTATCTTCGTCTGTCCATCCAGCCATCAATCTGTTCGTCTGTCCATCCATCTATCTATCTATCTATCTATCTATCTATCTATCTATCTATCTATCTATCTATCTATCTATCTATCTATCTATCTATCTATCTATCTTCATCTATTTTTTTACCTTTTTTACTTTTATTCAGCAAAAATGCATTAAATGGAACAAAAGTGACAGTAAAGACATTTACAATATTACAAATGATTTCCATTTCAAATAAATGATGTCCTTTTGAACTTCTATTTATTCTATTTATCAAAAAATCCTGAAAAAACATAACCGTTTCCACATAAATAATATTAAGCACCAAAACATTGATAAATTCTTGAACACCAAAACATGATTTTTGTTGGATTGTGACACTGAAGACTGGAGTAATGGCTGCTGAAAATTCAGCTTTGCCATCCCAAGAATAAATGTAATTTTAAAATATATTGCAATAGAAAATAGGTATTTTTAAATTGTAATAATATTTCACAATATTACTCTTTTTTACTGTATTTTTAATCAAACAAATGTAGCCTTGGTGAGCATGAGAGACTTCAAAAAAAAAAAAAAAGGTTGGTAGTGTAAATCAAATAATGTTACCAAGTTCAGTATCGTTTTTTCTTGCTGACTAAATTAATAGTGAATCCAGAGAACTGAAACGGCACAAAATCCACAAAATGGTCAGGTGAAACAAAAATAAAATGTATAAATCCAGAACCATCTTTTGCCTTTGTTAAGAGAATATTCACTGACAGCGGCTGAGACTGCTTACCCCTCCAAAATGAGGATGTCCAATCAGTGTGCCAGCTGAAGTAAGCCCCGTACACACTGCCCAGCCGAGGCCTTGTTCATGGGGATTGACTTTGTATGGTGTTTAGCCTGGCACAGTTACCTCAGCCGCATTCATTGTCAGATTCTGTAAAGACTAAACCTCCAAAGGGACTCAGAACCTAAATACACATGGGCACATCCCCTCGTGGGCATCCTAATCTTTGCTGGCACCAAATGAGCCAGCTAGACACACCGGAATACCGAGTAACTACTGACTTCCCTCAACATTGGCAGGTTCACCGGGCCAGACACTGCAGTTTCCAGTGCAGTGAACACATGGGACCGTCAGCACTATTGAGGGCTTGCAATGTAATCCAGTTGGTATCTGAGTGAATTGAAATCCGATCAGCTCTTTGGATAAATACAGAGAGTGATGGTTGGAAGAGAGGACGGGGTAGCAAGCAGTGGGAGGGCCGAAGTGAAAGAGGCAAAGGCAGGCAAACAGTTTACATCATTATTCCAGAAAGATCCACCACTGGCTCGTGTGCCAGGGGCCGTCGGTGTTGCTCTATTTAAGTGCGCACGCAGAAGAGGCAGCAGTTTTCTGAGTGCTGCTAAGACCCAGACACAAAATGGACATCGCCATCCAGCATCCCTGGTTCCGGCGCTCCTTCTGGCCATCCCTCTTTCCCAGCCGGATCTTTGAGCAGCACTTTGGGGACCCCATCTCTGAGGCCGAAATGATTCCCTCACTGTACTACCCACGACCTTCCTTTTTCCGCTGGCCAAGCTGGGTGGACAGCAGCCTTTCTGAGGTGAGCTAAAAGTTTCGCAGTCAGTTTTCAGTGACGTTTGGGAACGTTGTGGTTAATCTACATTAAGTTTGTAACCTTAGCATTATTGTAGTTCCGTGTCTAGTTTGTTAGCTCACTATCAAAAACTAAACTGGGTGATCAGTACCTTGAAGCAAAGTGGAGGGGTCTCATATTAACCTACAGGGTATTAATTAGTGATAACGGCTGTACAGTTAATAAATAATGGATGTTTAAAGTCATTTTCATATGTTAACAATTTAGTACACATTAATAATTGACCTTAGTCAACCAATACAAAAATATTTGACCTTAGTTGACCAATCAAAATCAAGTATTTCAAAGAGCCATGTAATAATGAAAATTATTTATGGATTATTTTTATTGTGCTATTTTAAGTTTTACATTTAACATGAAGTTATTCTCTGTGTTCATGCCTGTTTTATATAGACAAAGATAGCGTTATTAAGAGATAACTATAGCTGTTTTTTGTTTTTTTCAATGACAGCTGTGCTAGTGTCGGCTGTTTTCTAAACTATGATCCCACTTGATAAATATTTGAGCATTTATTTAATGACGATAGCTTTGATTGATTAGCAGTGTATATTTAAAAAGCCACACTGAAGCATAGCTCTTCTGTTTTGATGGGATAAAATAAATAAATAAATAAAACAAACAAAAAACACAAAACAAAAATAATTTAATTATTTATATGGTTGAATTTCACAAAACCTTTTAAGAAATGTTCGGGTCATGTTTCACTAAAATCAAAAGAGAAATAAATATTTTTGCATAAAAAAAGTGAAGCAGATTTGAAGAGTTCAGATGCAGAAGCCTCTAAGTGCCATCTGAAATTTCCTTCTAAAATTAATATTTTTATTAGGCTCCTTTATTTAGGTGAAGTAATTTTACTTTAATGGTCCTTTTCTATGCCATTATAGTGAAATACCTGAACATAAAATATAGGAGCCTGATAAAAATGCTCATTTTAGACAAAAATTTCAGACGGCACTTAGAGGCTTTTGCATCTGTAGTCTTGTAGAACTATTATGATTTTTGCATTGTGACAACATGATATTGTAATGTGAATTTTAAAAAAAATGTAATTCTAATGTACATTATTATTACTTTATAGTTAATAATTATAATTATTAGTATAATTACAACTATATAATATAGTAATGAAATTCTGTATATAGGTTAATACTATCACAGAAGATTATTATGTTATAGTAGAAAAAAAAATCGAAATGTCTGAAAATGTAAATTTGTCTTTTGAATTTGAAGTGCTTTTCCTAATTGTGAGCATTAGGATAGACCAAACAAAATTTTATTATTAATAATTTATGTCATTAATTGTGTTTTTTTAGATGAAAATGGAAAAGGACCGTTTCTCCCTAAATCTGGATGTCAAACAATTTCAACCAGAGGAGCTGTCAGTGAAAATCAATGGGGATTTCATTGAAATTCACGCTAAACACGAGGATCGTCAGGTAGAAACTCACAGTACATAAACACTGAACACTGCAACCTAATACCTACCCAAACCTTTGCGTGTGACTGGCTTTATTGTTTAAAATCCTCATGTCATCACCAAGATCACTGGCCTTGAGCCACAAATAAACACTGAGCTATAAGCAGAGTGAAAGATGGACCATTCGTTATCACCTGCTCATAACGATGTTGTGCTTTCCTTGCAGGACGATCACGGTTTTATCTCACGGGAGTTTCTAAGAAAATACCGTGTCCCTGCTGGTACGGATCCAGCCTCTGTCACTTCCTCCCTGTCTTCTGATGGCGTTCTGACCGTGACAGCCCCTCGCAAGCACACAGAGGGCCCGGAGCGCACCATTCCCATCACCCGTGAAGACAAGCCCGCCGTGGCTGGGTCTCAGAAGAAGTAAAGCTGCTAGACTTCCATGTTTCAACTTTATGTCCCGTGTCTTCCTCCTGCTACATTACAAGGGAATAACTTATTAGCCCAACATTTCCTGACAAGCCCAAACTTGTTGTCTTTGCTACAGCGCCTAGAGAAGAAAAATAAGTTATTAGGTCGAAAACTCCATCAGCGTCAAACTAACTGAACACAAGCTCTAAATGATAAATGTTACCATAGAAATACACTTTTACAATAAAGTATTGTTTTCTGTTGATGCCACCAAACAAAGGGGCTTCTGTATATCTTGCAGCTTGACAGCAAGACAAAGTATTTGAGTGTAGGAGTATTTTTCCCCGGCATTTTTTTTTATGACAAAGACAAAAATGGGCCATTGAACTCAGCTGAATCAGATGGCAAATTACGCCACAGTCTCTTATTATTAATGCTGGAATTTGCAGAAGAGTCAGAATAAGGTCCTATTAGTCAGCGTTACTTAATGCAATAACTTACATTAACTTAACATGAGCAATATATTTCTTACAGTATTTATTCATCTTTGTTAATGTTAATGATAGTTAATAAAAATACAACTGTTAATAATTTCATGTTAGCTCTGGTCCATTAAATAATATTAACAGATATTAATTTGTGTTAGTAAATGTTGAAATTAGCATTATCTAAGATTAATAAATGCTTTCAAATAATTTTTCATCGTTAGTTGATGTTAACTCATGTAGTTAACTAACGTTAACAAATGGAACCTTGTTGTAAAGTGTTTATTCTGTTATTGTTTATTCTCTGTACGTTCAAATGATTTGTTTGAGATATCACAATGGCTTTTGTTTTTGGTATGGAAAGGCAAAAATTATTTTGAATTTAATGATCTGGGACTAGAGGACACAGTGAGGGGATGAAAAAGTCACAGTATTTAAGTGTTTTGACAAGATTTGTGTGCGTTGATGCAGTTTTGATTGATTCTGTTATTGTTTATTCTCTGTACGTTCAAATGATTTGTTTGAGATATCACAATGGCTTTTGTTTTTGGTATGGAAAGGCAAAAATTATTTTGAATTTAATGATCTGGGACTAGAGGACACAGTGAGGGGATGAAAAAGTCACAGTATTTAAGTGTTTTGACAAGATTTGTGTGCGTTGATGCAGTTTTGATTGGTTAATGACACATCTATGCACTGCATTGCTTCACACTATATACTTTCGCCACTGTATTTGCATAACAACAGCAGGAGCAGGGCTTTAAAACCCGAGGTTAAAGATGGTTATGAACGCAGCGTTAAACTGAAATTAAAGATAATGTTAAGTCATGGTTAAACAGCATGAATATATTTCCAAGAAAAAAACATCGTCTTATATTCGGGTCAATACGATAAAAATGTATTTGGTAGTTTACTGTTTAATGAATTCACAAAAATTTGTGGAAAAAATCAATCGACCAGATGAATTGAGGTGAATTATCAATGCAGTTGTCACACTTTAGCCTAATGCGAGGAGCGAGGAACGAGGAGAACAGGAGTACATGAACAACAATAGTCTTTTAATTCAGAATCTCCAGGAAGTAACACTTGGCAGCTTGGAACACAGGAAACACAGGGGTTGACGTTCAGAACCAACCAAGACAGACAGCACAGACTGGGACTGAGTCCAGGGGCGTGACAGCAGTAAAGTACAATATAATTGAGAAGTCAAATATTATAACCTTATTATGTATGGAAAATCAATCATCATAGGTACATTTTCTGACATTTTGTACATTTTCTTTGTGTGTGGAGGGTCCAGTTCTGGTTGGTGGCCAGGGAAACTTCTTGACTCCCTCTTTGGAGCTGATAAAGTGGAAATATCAGATTCTTTACATAAGCATGATTATTTTGTTGAATTCAAAACAATAGAATTAACTAATTAATCAATTAAAATAAATAATAGTTGATACAAAGTTTTTAATACAATTATTTAAAGAAAAATATACTTGTGTAAATTGGCCGAACGTCATCCTTCTTATAGCTGGAATAATATGTGGTTTCAAAGTAGTGAGAGAACTGAGGAGTAACAAATTCAAAATTGTTTGACTACTGAGCACAAAACTGGTATTTGGACATTTGAGTGACACTTAAAATGCATGAATGTCACTGCATTAGATAACTAAATATCAAACAAAATCAAATGCATTTTAAAGAAAGTTTGCACTAGCACACTTTTAAAGCAAAACGTTCACAAAATAAGTTTGAAAAACAAAAAAATTATATGAGGATTTTTGTGATTAAATGTTATTGGAACATGTTCATAGTTGGTGTTATGAACTACACCTGTGGTCACTGCCACACTAACTGATTAAAATCATTGCACTGCTCAAAAAAATGAAGCTGTGGAAGGATTGCAGATACCAGTCTATCTTAACTAATGCAATGAATTGGAACATGTTCATAGTTGGTGTTATGAACTACACCTGTGGTCACTGCCACACTAACTGATTAAAATCATTGCACTGCTCAAAAAAATTAAGCTGTGGAAGGATTGCAGATACCAGTCTATCTTAACTAATGCAATGGAATTCAAGCATTTTAAATGTGACTTACAGTAGGTGGCTCTCAGTGGTGTAATGTAACGAAGTAATAATACTTCGGTACAGTACTTAAGTATATTTTGGGAGTATCTGTACTTTACTTGAGTTTTTATATTTCAGCCAACTTTTACTCCACTACATTTCCTAATTAAAATATATACATTTACTCCGATACATTTCCCCGAAGCATATTCGTTACTTACAAAATAGTCAGAAGTCAGAAGAACACGGACTGCAGGAAAGCAGGTTTGACGAATCAGTGGTCTGGCATTTGCAAGTTAGACTCATGCTCATGTGCAAACAAGTGCACGCACTACCACGGATGATTCATTTCCCACTCAAGTCGAGTCTGGGCTCTGCGATATAAAGCATTGTCTGCGATAATATGGTAAGTGTTGTTGTAATGATGTGCGATCTGACATTATCAAGTCTATATCATCAAATCACACACACAGAGTGCACGCATGTTGATTTATTAGTCTATTAAAACTCAAAATGTAAGACATTCTAAATTGTAGACGGCAAAAATGCTTCTGTGTGCTTTTTTACATTTATATAATTTAAAGGAGACATATTATGCCCCTTTTTACAATGTGTAATATAAGTCTCTGGTGTCCCCAGAATGTGTCTGTGAAGTTTCAGCTCAAAATACTCCACAGATCATTTATTATATCATTTTGAAAATGGCTATTTTGAGTGGAAGCAAAAACATGCTGTTTTTCGGGCCTGTCTTTTTAAATGCAAATGAGCTGCTGCTCCCCGCCCCCCTTTTCTAGAATAGAGCTGCACCATTACATCTCGGCCCTGCTAAAAACATCTGTTTTGGTTCTGATTATCATGTTTATCGCACTGAAATCATGCGTTTTAAACCATATTATTTTTAAACTTCTGATATACGGTTTTCTGAGAGCACACATCCGAAGCACACGGACAGAAAGCGGCTGTCACAGCATGAGAGTACTAAACTAAGTTCTCATTCACACACAAGTATACTCACACTCACACGAGTTACAAAAACAGTCAGTTATGTCTGTGAAGGTAAACAGCTGGGAAATAAATTGCATGTTTATTTTAGATCTGTGTGGCAGCAGCAATATACAGTAAATAAATCAATAAATCCACTGCTCTGTTGTCTCCTCTGAGGCTGGGACTCTAAACAGTGTTCTGTGCTCGTCTGTGCAGCCAATGACAGAACAGTTAGCATGTTTCGCTCAAACTTTCGCCATGGCATTAGAGCTGGTACACCGTTGTCGCTTGCGAAAACACAATAACTGTGCCGTTAGGGATGCACCGGTTGACCGGCCATAAATCGGAACCGGCCGGTTGCCGATTTATGGCCGGTCAACCGTTTTTTGTATTTTTTCCGTCCGATTTTTCCGGAAGTGTGCACAGAGGCGCCAGCAGAAAAAAATACCACGCAGAGCAAGCTCATTGTTGGCGATGCACGATGAGATATTGGAAGAAAAATCTGAAGTGATTAAGGATACGGGCAGCCGTTTAGCACTGGAAATGCAGATCTACCTGTCTGAGGCACAGATACCAAGAAGCGAACAGCCGTTGGTGTACTGGCGCACAAATAAGAGCCGCTTTCCTGCACTCGCTGAAGTTGCTGTAAAGTTACCTGTCCGCGCCCTGCACAAGCGTAGACAGTGAACGTTTGTTCAGCTCAGCTTCTCACGTGTTGGATGAGAAACGAAACAGACTAACTTGTGCCAAAGCTGAAATGCTTCTTTTTGTAAAGAAGAACTGGCATGCACGTTTGAAAAGCCAGACGTAAACGTCAGTTCTGTAGGCTATAGGATTAATATTTTTTATTTTACCTTAAAATTACATCCACTTAATGTGATTTAAAAAGCACCTGTAGTTAACATTTTGGAATAATTTATTTATATAGCCTACTTTGGTTTTATTTAGTTTCACTGGTAAAGATCTTTTTTTCTTTACACCAAATTTAAAAACAAAAACAAATGCTGAATGCTGATTACATGGTTACAGTTAATGTTTTCATTTAAGGCCAGTTTATAGTTTCAACCCAATTTAAAAACAAAAGCTAAATGCTTTTGTCAGTAGGCCTACCTATGTCTGTATTGAATGTAGCCTACTTACTGCGCAGTTACTGGTTAATTTCAGATGGTTACAGTTGTTGTTTTCAATAGCCAAACCCCAGTTTAGCTTGTTAAATACCAAATAAACATCTTGTTTATGTGTACTTTTATTCTTTCTTGTTTGTTGCTTGATAATTTTTTTTTTTTTAAACCGGAAATCGGTATCGGAATCGGCCAGTTTGCTTGTAAAAAAATCGGTATCGGAATCGGCTATGAAAAATTATGATCGTGCATCACTATTAAAAATCATAATTTGTGTTCTACTGAAGAAACAAAGTCACCTACATCTTGGATGCCCTGGGGGTAAGCAGATAAACATAAAATTTTCATTTTGGGGTGAACTATCCCTTTAAAACCTGGAAAAGTCAGATTTTCATGATATGTCACCTTTAATATAATTAACTTGATCTATATCACACAAAGAGTACCGTTTTTCTGCAGATGTCAGCATGATAACACATTTAATAATCATTTTATACAAGTTCAGTAAAGCAATAAGTGACTTACATAATATTGCTTGTTTTTGCTCAATTTTGCTAACGAATATAGTTCCCAACAAAGATCACAGCACTGTTTTGCGTCTCTGAGCAATGGTGTTTACTTATTGAATGAATCAGATTTTTGAACGAATCGTTTGAATAAATGATTCAGTGATTCACTCATTAACACAGTCAAATGCTTTGTTTCTGAATGAATCAGTCGTTTGAATGAATCGGTTGAATCTCAATGACTCACTAATTAACAGTCACTTGCTGCCACCTACTGGCAGTTTTAATCTCACATTTCGACTGTTTTTTATGTTTTAAAATCATTTCAAATAACAGTATTCAACTTTATATGTTAAAAACAAAACATTATTTATTCATCTGTAACTGCAGGTTAAATGCATCCATGTCCCCTCTGAGATATGCCTA